GAAAAGCTTCCTCAAATTTTGGGTTCTGAATCCACTGATCGACTCTACCGTAGCGATGGCGTTTGTGGTCTCTGAACACTATGGCCGGTCTCACCAGCTGTTCCTCAACGCCTCTACTTTGACTATCCCCAACTTCATGAAATGACGTCCGATAATCTCCGATACCGTGCAACCTCCCCCCTCCTTGACGGTCGATATTCTACCACCGCAGACAGTTTTTTTTCTCCTGAGCCCTCCAAACCACAAAAACCACCATCAACTATATTTTTATGCCTTAAGCTCAGGAGTTTTTTTTTCACTGCTGGTCGGATTTGTGTTTAATCGCTTCCCTTGACAATGCCTGTAAACTGGCATTAAATTAAAAATTTATTTATTTATTATTTACTACGGTTGCTTCAATCCAGTCTGGGAGCCCCGCTCGATAATCATGGACAAAGACAGGTGTTCCGATGGAGACCTTGCTGCGAGCGAGTGGAGAATTCTGCGCGCGCTGCGTACGGGTAGGGATGAGTGCATTGAATGCTGTACGCAGTTTTCGGCCCATCAACGCCTCGGCAGGAGAAACGCCACCAGGGGACGCCGAGTTCGGTGTTGTCCTGTAGGAAAACAGGAACGCCTGGACTATCTCGTCCGTGGTTCCTTCCCCACGAGCTTTCAAGAGGGCTGTCTTAAACGTGTCGACAAAACGTTCCGCCTGACCTTTAGACTGAGGATGGTAGGGCTGCGAGCGAAGATGCTGGATGTTGTATTGGCGGCAGAAATCCTCAAATGTGGACGCAGTAAACTTAGAGCCATTATTTGAAACCAGGACTTCTGGTAAGCCATGCTGGCTAAAGATGCGTCGTAGGAAGGCGATAGTGGGAGATGTGGTTGCTGGATTCAGCGGAGCAATCTCGGGCCATTTTGAGTAGGCGTCAACCAAGATTAGATAGGAGACTCCGTTAAGTGGGCCAGCAAAGTCGATGTGCACGCGTGACCAAGGCCTCTCCATTGGTTGCCAGGGTACTGGCGGTTGACGAGGCGGCATCTTGGCAGCTTGCTGACATCGAGAACAGCGTCGAACCAGGTCATCGATATCGTCGTCGATACCCGGTTTGCAAGCAAAACTGCGAACAATAGACTTCATTCGGCTGGTACCAGGATGAGTGGCATGGAACTTGCCTAGTATAGCGGGTCGGAGGGAAGATGGGAGCACCACACGGTCCGAAAACATGAGGCGGGAGTCAAACACAGATAGCGATGCTCGGCGGAGGAAGAGCTGGCGAAGATCGCCAGCGAGAGCAATGGTTGGCCAGCAGGTCTGAACGTAGGTGACGGCCTGACGGATGACAGGATCCTGTTCAGTAGCACGTCGGATGTCCGCGGCAGTGACAGGGATACCTCGTATGGCGTCTGGTAGCTGACGGCGCACATCGTCCTCAATCGAATTGGCGGCAATCACCGTGTCTTCCTCTGGTTCCTGATGACTGCTGGGCGAAGGCATTTTCACAGTAGGGAGACCAGCACCAGGGAACATCCTTCTGCAACAGACGGTTTAGCGGGGCCCGTACGTCATGCAGCGATGGTAGGATGGCGCTATAGTAGCTGATCAGGCCAAGGAACGAACGAAGTTGCAACACATTCTTGGGTGTAGGCATTCGTTGGATGGCCCGAATGTTTTCGGTATCTGGATGGCGACCAGTGACGTCAAAAACAAATCCGAGGTACTTGATGGAGTCGAGGAAGGAGTAGCACTTGTCAGCCCGTGGGTGAAAGCCATATTCCTGCACGCGTTCGAGTACTGCGCACACTCGGTCTTGCAGCTCGGTAGGGGAGCGACCCACGATGTTAATGTCGTCCAGATACCCAGCTGGGCCAGGGATGCCGGAGAGCATTGCGTTCATCGTTTGTTGAAATAGGGCTGGGGCGGTCTTGACACCAAAGGGCAGCCTGGTGTATTGGAACAGACCGCGGTGGGTGTTGATGGTCAACAATTCGCGCGACTCTGGGGCGGCCTCGATCTGCAGATACGCATCAGCGGGATTCAACTTGGCAAAGCACGTGCCACCATTCAGCAGGGTGAAAAGACCAGCCTGAACCGGCAGTATATGACAGTTCGGCGTCAGTGCGGCATAGAGACCGGTGGAGTAGTCAACACAAATGCGAATCGAGCCATTGGGCTTCTTAACCACAACGATTGGAGCGACCCAGGCGGAGTAGGATACAGGAACCAGAACTCCCAGTTCCTCTAGACGCTTCAGTTTAGTCTCGAAAAGTGGTAGAGCTGCATATGGGACTGGTCGTTTTGGACGGAAGACTGGTTGACTTCCAGGAGACAGATGCGGCACGGCTTGAGTGTGTGTGTGCAACGACCCAGGCCGTCTTGGAACACTGGAGCAAACCGTTGAAGAATGTCCTTGGCTTGGTCTGTAAGCACAGCGGGAATCTTCACCTGACTGCAAACAACTCGCAGCGGCATACCGGCCAAAGCAAGTTGTCCAATCCAGTCGAGACCAAGTAGGTTGACTTCAGACTTGGTGATGTAGCAGATCGCAGTGATGCTGGTACCGCGGAAAGACGCACAGCATTGCAGTTGCTCAATTAGCTGAACGAGACCACGGCACGCGCTTGTGGTGGACTGGGAAGTCTGCTGGATCCTGGGGCTGTCAAGGGACTGCCAGAGTCTCTAAGAGATTATGGTGATATCTGAAGCTGTGTCCAACTGTAGGCAAACTGCATGGCCATTGAGCAAAACGTCAACAAATTTTCTACGACCAGATGCATTGAGCTGGAAAGCAGCCAAGAGACTGAGAGAATTACGAACGGACTGGGGGTTGGGCTTGCGTTTTGACCGGAAACGATGCCTGGAATTAGGAGTTACGGGGGCTGGCTTGCCTCCAGAAGCTGGTACTGATTTGCAGAACCCATAACGATGTCCCACCTGATTACGGCTTTGGCAGCGATGCTGCGGAAAGTGCAATCCCTGTGGAAATGCCACGCGCCACAGTGCCGACAAGGGGGTGGCGGAGATCTCGCCTTGGACACTTGCTTGGACCGCGATTTGGTCGATGTGACCGAATGGACTGAGGAAGATGACGCAGGGTTCTGAATCATTGCAGAGTCGTGCTTGAGGTTGATCAGCGTTTGGCACTCTGCTGCGAGCTCTTGGAGTGTGATTGAGTTGTTCTGCTGCAGTTTGGACAGCAGACGTGTCCGGATATCAGCATCCTTGGGGGACTAGAGGCCGCAGATAAATGTTAGGCATTTAAACTGGTCTTCAGTGAGAGAACCGAGTTGGAAACGCCCACACTCACGATTGACAATGTCCGCATACGTGATGAAATCAGCGGAATATCGTTTTTACAGTTGCAGGCACTGAAATCGAGGGTTCAAAAGGGATGATTGGTCACCAAAAATCTGCGACAACGTCTGAACCGTGTCCTTGAAAGTAAGTTCTCGGGAATTCTTGGGGAGAATGAAGTTAGCACAACGCTCGTGTTCAGCCGGACCCAGTTTGCGAAGTAGAAGTCGAACCTTACATGCATCGTCCTGGGAAAAAAGATCGACAGAGAACAAGTCCTCGTATCGTTTGTACCAGGCATCGAAAGTGATATGGGCCTGCGGGTCATACAAGAAATCAGTGATGCTGCTGGCAGTGTGATCGACAGAATGTGAACCACCAGCCGCTCTTGATTGGCCCATGGATAAATTGGATAGCTTGAAGGTCAGAGCCTCCACCAGCTTCAGGTGCTGCTGCTGTAACATTTGCTTCAAGTCGGCGTACTCGTCAGCCATTGTAGTTGAAAAACTGCGTCGCCAATTTGTTATGACCCGCCTGGTACTTGAAATCCCGTGGAACGTATACGCACTCGACCCTTATCCTCAATACCAACGCGGCAGAGAAGGAGAACGCGACCGGCCACGAAAATGTGCATTAGGAAATTGCAAGTCAAAATTAATTGGAAGTAACGCATATTTATAACGCCCTACTGTGCTTCGCTGGCGTTCGGCCCAATGCCCCTCAGGAAGAACATTCCAGACGAGCCGATCGATCAGGCCCGAGAGAAAAAACCAATGGACAGGCGCCACGATTAAAATGACAGCGCCGTAGAGAAAATCACGTGGCCTCCCGTGATTGGCTGGCTCTTGTTTTTGGTAGTGTAGGCACTCCCAACAACTAGGAGCACCGAGATACACCCCACCATCCGTTTTAGCTGTTCAGTACCTCCCACGAACATTCAGTCACCGTAGAGGCCAAGTAGGCAGCAAACGAAATAACGAAAGCAGAACTCACTGCACTGCTGAGGTGCCAAAAAGCCTCGAATGACCGATAACTACACCATGTTCAGAATCCCCAGCAACCCCTCCACAAGCGCTGTCACCACCAACACGACAAATGTCGTCTCATTCTGCCATATTGTTGTCGCGCATGCACATAATACATTGTTCTGTTTGGTTACTAGCGTATTGATTACGCTGAAACGGCGGGTCATTGCCAGGGATACCAACATACACCACAGCGTAAACCACACGGTGGACATTGTCGCTCGCGATGGTCAAAATGTCATCGTATGTAATGAAGGGTTAAATTTGGAGTTTAGCGTAGGAGTTAGGACTTGAGTTTTGGGGCTAAAGTAGGTGTAAAGTTAAGTTTATGCTTGCTTGCTTATGTAAGGATGGATTTAACACGAGGTTAGTGATCGTGTTTAGGGATTACGGTCAAGTTTAAGGTTAGCCAGGCTTATGTTTTGAGATCAAACTCATGGTAAGGTTTGAAATTTCTAATTGGGCTAATGTTGGGTATACGTATATCGTGCTCTGGACAAACGTGTTCTTCCAAAACTTGAGATAAATTCTCACCAAAAATCTCTATTTTCAAATTCCCGACTTCAATGCTCTGCTTGCATTATTTTTCATCCCTTCTTTGAGGATCACAAAAGAGAGGTGTTGCTTTCGGAAAATGTTGTATCCCCTCCAATACTCCTGTGGACTACATTAATCTCCTTACCTCGACAACTTTTGCCTGCAACGATTTGTAACTATCCGTTTCTCACATCTCCACTGGAATATGTGCAAAGTTCTGTATAATGTTCTCCCCTGACTCCCAGAAATGCGCCTTTTTATGGCAATATTACCGATACATTGATAGACCCGGATAAAACAGAAGTACTAATAAGCTTAAACAACATACGTTTGTTTAATTTCTCCTCGAATTTCGGCCAGGTGTTGACTTTGAATTCTGTCCAAGAAGTCGGGATGAGGTTCGTCGTTTTTAAAGTGCTGTGGCCTTCGCAGCAGGTTATTTCTGTGAAAATAAGGTCTTTGAATCCAATCACATGTTATAACGCAATCAGTTGGCAATTCTTGTCCTGTAAATACACCGCGAAGCGTTAACAGCTACGCATATTACATTTGCTCAACTCCTAGTCTGTTTTAGGGAGAATCCTAGCTGCCCCCTATTCGCTCATGTGCGTTTTCACGTCTACCAAAAATCTGTAAATCATTATGACTTTTGATTTGCCACTATTGGCCTCCTTGCTAGCTGCCTCGTCATATGACGAGCCCGTGTAGTCGTCGACTTGCTCCTACAACAGCCGTTATATCTGCTCGATTGGACAGTATAGACATCGTCTTAAAGTTGTGCTGGCACCCATTAACTCTAGAAGTTGCATGTTTAGGCAAATGTTTTGCCATCGATCGCGCACCACTACATTAGTAACCGCGCGACGTTGCCGGGTTGCCGTGCTCGCCCTCTATCTTGCATTACCGAAATTTACTTTGAAAGTTTATTCTTCGTTAAGATATTTTTCAGACGCTCGAAAAATCTTATTAGTCGAGGGTCTTGAATATTTTGTGCTTCTATGGTGTGCATCCTGTATTAGTGTTTACTTTTTAAAATCCATAGCAGTTCGTTTATGTCTCAAATACATTTTGAACTTCGACTTTTTATTACTCACTGATCATTTAAACGTAGGCGCCGGGGTTGTTCAATTTTTTTGTCTCAAAACAGGCAATCCTAAATCACACTATCAGTAATTTGAAACTGCATGCTTTTCGTTTCGCGTAAAAACTTCGACAAGTACTATGACACACTGCTAATAGCCATTAACAGTGCAGATTTCACTGGTTTTCTTGCAAAATTTCACACACTCCTCCATGATTGCCTTCTATTTGCGATGGTTTAAGGCTATTTTATGAGTGATTTCGAGCCACATCAATTTGCGCACAGGACAGACGTCAAGGCTCGTCGCTCCGAGGACGTCGAGCCAGTTCCTCATCCTCTTCCATTCTACAATGGGTAAAATATCAGTAGTAGTTCGACAAAGGAACCTAAGAAACCTCCGTCGTTAGCCCAGCTGCTGGTTACCTGGCGCGCCCACAGGTGGCGAATAGTGCAATGGCTGCTGCAATGTTTTGCTGCGAAATGAACAGGCTCTCGGGTTTGACGAATAAGCAGTCGCGGACCATCAGTAATAGTGCCACCAGGACGCTTAGGACTGAAGCCCGGCACGCCGACTGCCTTATAAAATGCTGCAAAGCCCAATTATGACACTGTGGCATGTCGACCGTAAACCGCCATTAGATAAGTTTGCTTGTCACCACTGTCTTATGGCTAGGCTCTCGAGCCGAAGCGCTAGAGGAGACAACCTCGAACAAACAATCTGCGCTGCTGTTGGGGACCCGCACGTACTCAATTTTCCAAGAACCTTACAAACATATGTCCCAATGAAGTATTACGATCCATACCACGACGTCCATGGGAGCCGACGCGCCCTGCTGCCTTGGTCCAGGAGCGCGGACGAATAGTATGCAAGCTGGACTACTCACTTGGGAACACACTGTTGGTATTGGATGCTGGAATGTCCGGACACTCCTAGACCATGGTACCAAAAGTCTGACGACACACTGTCCTTGTCAATAAAACGTGGATGCCTGTTGCCTGTCTGAAGTCCGAATCCCCTTTTCGAAAGCTCTGGAAATAAAGCTCCCGTGAGTAAACTCCCACCGCGCCATTTACCACAGTCGCTCATTCAAATCATCTGGTAGGCGCGACGTGGCGATCACCCTCTCACAACAAGCGAATGGTGCACTATTTGCACGGAAGCCAGTCGGTGACCAGGCAGCTTACGTATCGCAACTATGATTCCTTCTACGAACTCCGGAAAATGATAGCACAGTCGGCAGGGGATAGCCGACGGAAACAGCGACCTCCATGGGACAGGCCTAAACTGTTGGATACAGTCAGCAGCCATCAAATTATCCACCGAGTTAGTTGTAAGTCCTCTGCAATTAATGACCGTTCACGATGCGAATGACAGTTTTATTGTTGACAACTCGACTAAGGTTGAGCGCTGGCGTCAGCACTTCGAGCACCTCAACTTGGGGGATGAACCCATCACATCTCTGTTCTCAGGCGATCCCAGGGCGGGCGTGACTCTAGGACGAGACCCAGCCAAGCCGGGCTCCGAGCTGCGCGTGGATGCGCGACCGAATATTTACTCTGCGACGCACTTTTAAATTCCACCGGGACTACCAACAAGCGATGGCCGTCTGTTTTGTTGACTTCGCTGCTGCGCTTGATTCCGTCCATCGTGAGTCTCTGTGGCGGATGATCGAATTAAATGGTGTACCCACAAAAATCACCGCAATCACCAAAGCCCACTGTCGCTCCACCACTGCGCAAGTTGTAGTTCAAAGCGATCCACCCCAACCGTTCGATGTTCGGTCTGGCGTCTGACTGAGTTGTATCCTGTCGCGCATTCCGTTCAATAACGGCATCGCCTAAATTCTGGGAAGGGCCCTACACTGTTTGTCAAGACATGGAAGTGGCTCTTAGACCTTCGGTATTTGGTCTCCGTTGCTGGTGGGGAGAATGGGTCGAGCCGTCCAGATCTGCAGCCGCTGATCGTCACGCATGGAGAGATACAATCCACGACATCAAGGAGGTCTGGTAGATCAAGCATGACCACGGCTGCATCGAGTACTAGTTAAGTATCTCACCAACTTCCCAATGTGGCCCAGCAAGTAGATTCCTCGGCGCTTAATGAACTGACTCCATTAGCCCCCTTGACCTCGTATAGCTACCAGTGACGTAGGGCAGTTTCATAATGCGCGGCGGTGGTGGCATGAATTTCCGAGCCTTAGATGATAAGGTGGGCCACATAAATCACAAATTCATAGCAAGATCGATTTCACAGACCTTATAAACACGAAGCTTCCTTTAAAGGTTGTGTAACTGGAAAAGCTGTATTTTGTGACAATTTTGCGAAACAGCTCAATTAACAAAATGCCTAATCTTCATGTCGATGATTAAGCAGAAGTAATCAACTTGCTATTTTAAAATGCTAGGTTTACGTCTTCATTGCCAATGTTGACACTAGAATTTAGGGAATTTACGAAGACAGTATGGGTGAACACGTTGTTGAATTAATGTGTCTAGGCTATGCATACGGACGTCATCAGCGTTAGATGTTGCATCATTCTGTTCGTCAATTGAAACGGTGCTACTTTCTTGCTCGGTAATGGGTGGATGGTCAGGGGAAAGTGGGCAGAAATTTTCTGATACTGGCGTGGCCGCCTCCTGGTGGCAATCATCAAAATCCTTTTCACCGCTGGGAGCAAGCAGTCGAACAGATACCGTTTCTTCTCTGCCATTACTGAATCGTATATGAGCATATTGAGGGTTACATTGGAGCAGTTCTACCTCCTTAGCATGCGGATCAAACTTAGACTCTTGATTGCTCTTCTTCAGCAGAACTCTGACAGGAGAGATAATCGACATGGGGAGAGTAGTG